TTCCATCATTAAAATGTGCTGCTCCTCTCAAAAGCAGCAAGGGGTTTCTGTCACTGTCTGGCTAATTTTATATCCGATTGCTCAGCTTGCAGATAAAACAGGTGTATTCACTTTCATCTGCATGATGTTCTGTTCTTCATTATCCATTATTTGGGTGAGAACAGGAGGAGGGCAATGCTAACGATATTGCATTAGGAATATCTTATTGCTATAATACACAGGGGGGATTTTATCCATGGAGTCACGAATGTGAATTTCAAGCGTCCTGACTCCCTTTGCATTGCACGTTGCTGTCACCGCCCTATCAGCCCATTTCCCATACATATTCATTGCCCAAGCTAACTGGTTCCCAGAGCACCATGGACATCACCAGTCGCTGTGAGCCCAAATATAGCTGTTAAGGCTAGACCTATATTGAGATCTAGTCTACATCAAAGATGGCAAAATCTCTTCCTCTTATGCAAGGTAAAGAGTGCAGAATTGGTAGGGAGATACCAGTGCATGCTTCTTCAGCGAGTTTGAAAATACATTGGAGAGTAAATAGCACATATTTGTTTAAAAGTGCCAGTGTTTCTTTGGATCTAAGCAATATATGTCCACAATCATTCTCTAGGGTTTTCTTTTCTGCTCCATCAGGCAGTTGGAAATATACAGCTGCTTGCTCAACAGAGGTAATGAATTCGAAGACAGGTGCTGTTCCTGATTATGCTGCAAATTATTGAAGACCTTTTCCTCCGTGATGTCCTTGCAGGTTCACTCTTATGTCTTAAATACAGATTAACTGCTTGAACATTTCATTCAACTGAGCAGTGACTGTGTGGCCACGTGGATCCGGAGGCAGTGTAAACTCGTGGCTAGAGCGGGCGAGCGGGAGTCTGCCAGCGAGAGCTGGCAGGATCGACTGTGCATCTGGGATCCTGTTTCTGGGCTAGGATTCTGCCTTTGCAGAGCAATCTAACCTCTCCGTGCTTCAATCCATTCCCTTTATAAATGGGTCTCACGCTTTCTTTGCTCACCCGAGTGGTGCGTGGTGAAACCCAGGGATACAGGCAGGATGGTTAGATTTAAGTGCAAAATGCTGTTAGTCATGATCTTAGATTTAAAAAGGACTTACCATCACAGTGGTGGATTTAGAATCGAAGTGGACCCCTCTTTAAAATTTCAGGGAGTTTGTGCTCGGGGTTTTGAGTTGGATTGACCTCTAGTTTTCACAGGGTCCCTGGAGCACACTGCACTATGAACTTAGTGCTCTGTCTAACAAAGAGGACTACACCTTAGATAGCAGAGCTTGAAACCAGCCGCTGGGTTTTATAAGGCTGGTCAGTTTTGGGGGGAGGGGTATAATTCCCCCCTCCCCGATGTAGTTTGCTCCTGTTGACAATCGTGTCTTTTCCTGGTCAGTTCAGTTTGCTTTCTGGACAGCTCTTAAAGCATGTTAACTTGATGGTTGTCTCTTGATGTGAACATAATCTAGCATTTGCATCACCGGAGGTCACTGTACGGTTTTTATAATCCTTCCATTTCTGAATGTTTGTTCCCAGTCATCAAGCAATGTTCTCTTTGTCTCTGCTTGGTGGACATTAAACATGCATCTTACCGCATTGCTATTAAAAGCCACTTGCTCTACAAGAAAAAAAAATTATTCCTCTTTGAAAAAATTAACCTATTCCTACTCCCTTTCCCCATCCTGATAATCTTACCTTTTAAATTACAGAAAATATTCAGAATCGTAATTTTAAAAGTTTACGAATTTCACCAGTATACCCTTCCAAACATGAACTACATATTTTCTGTCATCTGTACATATTGAATATACTTTGGAATTTATAAAGCAATACGTCTCAAGCCAACAAGCACACAGCTGTTCAGAACAGGTTTTAAATTATGTCTTGGCCTGTAGCTATCATCTTTATAATATATACCGGTAACAGTAAGTAAAAGGCAAGGAGCTAACTGGGAAATATAATCAAGAGACAAGAAAATAATCTCCTTTAATAAAAAGAAGATTGCACTGCACTATGATGACTGCAAGTAGCATTAAGATACTGACTCTCCATTATCTACAGTACCCTGAATTTTTAATTTGCCGCCATGAGCAATCTTCTGCACACAACAGTGGACCATGTGCAGAAATAATTTGTATGCGTTCAAACCCCTCAACTTTTAGCTTATCTATATTTTCTCAGATGTGATTATTCTACTTTGGAATATATTTTTCACACCGTCAGATTCTTAATTTGTTTTATTGTGTTCCTTTAACTGCATCCTTCTCCCTTCCCCCCCTTCCCTTGTGCAACTACAAGAAACTCATTACTTTAGAGTTGCTGTTAAGAGAAGGATTGCAGCATCATAAAGTTATTGTGAAGTCAGGAGCTTGGTCCCAATGTGCCAGTGAGAGGGCAGATATAAAATCTGGGAACTTCGATAACAAAAATTTTCTAGTGTGGATATTAAGAGCATGATTTTTTTCAAAGGTATGCTTTGGCAAGCAACTAGTTTGTATGTGCATTAGGAGTTACTTACAGAAACAGCTCTCTAAAAGTCTGGTATATAGTATTTGAGGATATGTTAATTGGAAAGCTACTGTTGGGAAGAGTCTAACATTATATCAGGAGGTGGAATTCCCACTCGCATAGGCAGGTTGCACATCGGATGGAGAAAACATTCAATGTGTTCAAGCTTTACCAGAATAAATGAGAACATATAAGCAAATCATAAGTGAGCAAAGAAAGTAAGATTTTTATACTACATCTGAAAAGCAAGGAGCAATTCTTCAATGCGTAGAAATTTCCACTGTGGTACTAAATTCTTGTGATCTGTGGGTCAGTTCCTCACCTGACATTGTTTGGTCTCTGTTGTCTTTGCTTGAACTATGATGCATCATAACTTTGAGCCAGGGAAGGAGTATATTTCATTGGCGGCAGAACTGGGTAGCTTTCTTGCCGTTGTCCGGATGTGAAATGGCTTGGTCAGGTTCTCTCCTGAGACACAGCTCTGCTCATCCCAGGCAGGGGGTGAGAAATATCTGGGAGACCTGCTTGCCTCCCTGATTTCTGAGTGCCAGTATCACTCCCTGTGCAAGTTGGAACTACTGCTGAGCCATCCTAAGTTATGTACCTGACATAAGATCCTTTAAACTTGCAAGGGGAGGATAAAGAACTACAGGAACATAGCACCATCAGTGGCCCATCCTAACCCTCTCTTATTCAGGGAAGACTATAATTTGTTTGTAAAACTACACTGTGGTCTGTAGCTCTTATGTAGCAGTTCTTAGCACAGAAGTAAATCTTTAGAAATTATGAATGCTCAAGTTCTGAAGAGCAGTACAGGAGATTGTACTGCACTGAGAGATGGTTTTTTGCTGGTGTTGCTAGGCTTGAAAGAGATACTAGGGAATGAAATATTGCAGCCCGTGTCTAGCAGGGAAGCCCTGATCCTGCAAATATTTACACACATGCTTCATATTGGACACTATGGCTGCTCCTATGACAGTGTCTGGGATGGCTGACCAGTTTCCCGTGTATTGATTTATATTGTGGTAGTGCTCATGAGCCATCCTTATTTACTGGCAATCCAGTGTAGTTGTGTTTGAACAACACCTGGAACAAGAAAGTCCCACACTCTCACAGCACCTTCCTGTTTCAGTAGGTGACTACAAGCAGCAGACGGACATATTCTGTAGGAAACAAGGAAATTAGGCTGGTCAGTGTAAAAGGCACTGGTTTGCCTAACCGTTGTCGAGCTCTCCATAGGTATCATGACAAAGGAGAGCCTGAAGAAGGGATTTGCAGGCTTACGAGGTTGCTTTGCTTAAAGGACACGTCCAAGTATGAAGGGGAGAGGGCCCAAAGGTTTTGATGTGAAAGGATGGAAAGTAGGTGGGTATGCAAGTCTTTGCAGGATGGGGCTCTAACTCACAAGATGATCAATTGTTCCTGTTGCTTTCCAATTATTTGATTACATGGGGCCAGACATGTAATCTTGCATACTTGGCAATGTTTGAAAAAAACCCGAAAGATTGAATAACGATTTTCAACACAAACATCCACATTGTGAAGGGAGATGGGGAAATGTGCAGCTAGGACAGTCTCAAGATCTGTATTGCTCAAAAGAAAATGTTGATTTCATACTATTTATGACCCTTTCCCCCACTTCTCCCTGCACAGTTTCTTTGGTTTTAAAAAACATTTCTTGGTACTTCCTTGATTTTCTTTTTTTTTTTTCCTAGCCATTTTCTTTGAGCCGCGTTTGAGGAATTGCTGCCATTAATATTTCATAACCCCCAGAGTACGTGCTAAAAACATGGAAATGTAGAAACAAATCACCTTTTGGTGTTAATGTAATATTCCAGAGTGTGATTCTCAGGGCTCCGCAAAACGAGAATTAGACTTTCAAGAGGGAGGAGAAAAAACCAAGGAGTAAAATAAGAAAGTGTCTAGCAAAACACATTGAGAGTTTTTAACAGTTTAAACCATTTTTATCACATCCTGTAGTGACTTATTAACAGTGTCTTCAACCTTTATATATTCCAATAACAACCTGATGTCTTCATCTTATCTTATGGAACTATAATTGGCTGGATCCAGGTACCAGTGCCTGGAGGCCATATAGACTTATAGACTTTAATGGCTCATTAGGTATTTATTCACTTTAAGTTAAACAGCTCAGCCATTTGTGGAAAATGAGCCTTTAAAATAGAATTAAGGATTTTTACCTCGGCGCAGTGTATAACCTGAACTGCTGCTGCATTTAAATTTCCAAATATGCCAGTTTAGTTTTGCCTTGCTATCGTCCTCTTTCAATGAGGGTTTTAGCTTTATAATCAGCTCTTAGACCAAAGGCATAAATGGCAGCTAAAGCTGCTTGTACTTAATGAATCATCCCTTTTATTAAAAAAAAAAAAAAAAAATTATATATACACATGCACATCACTTGATGGCTTGTGTTGATAGGCGCCATCTACCTAGGTCACTGCTTTAGCTTTTCATCATCCCAAATAGGCAAGAGGAGGAGGAGGCGGCACCATCTTTGTGAATATTGGCTGTGGCAATGAGCGGTTTTACCTTACCATGGAGAAGTTACAAACCTCAGAGCACTTGGTGCACTCCAGACAGTTTCCTGTAAAACATAAGAAAGTGTGTTGGACTGAGAAAGAGAGACAGAGCACCATGCAGTTGAGGGAAGATGTGGTGCTGTGACCTGCATTTAACTGCTCCCATTGACCTGTGCACTCTTCTTCCCGAGCAATTAACACACCAGGCAAATCTAGTTCCCGCTCCTCCTTGCTGGCACAGAAGACTGAAGGCAGGGAAATGATCCTGTGGTTCCCAGCCCCCATGCGGTGTGCCATAGATGTTAACCATCCGATGCAAGGTTGAGGGAGGTTCTGGCACCACGTTGTGGTAGAGACACAATTATGTAGGTGCATCTACCGAAAACACGTAACTCCATTGCCTTTTGTTGGGAAAGTGAGATACAGGATATGTGGGATTGCCGTGCCTCTTGTGGGTCTGCAGTTTAGGGTTGCCAGCCCTCCAGGATTGCCCTGGAGTCTCCAGGAATTGGATATAAATCTGCAGGAAACTGCTGAGAGTCACCTGGGAAATAAATGATAGGACATTCATTAAAATAAATATTAAATGTTGAATCCAATTGATACAGTAGTCCAGCGGGTTTTAAAAATGTAATAGTAAAGCGCATTTGCCTTCCTGACATAAAGTCTATGCACCGTAATCTGTAACTGATATATGCAAACACGTGGGCACATTAGTGTTGCGTGTAGTGGGCATGATGGCATTCGGGAACCTCCTGGAATAGAGTCAAACAGCTCAGTGGATCGGAGATCTTCAGTCTTGCATCACTCATCTCTCCCTCCTCTCTTATCCACGCAGATCTCTGCAGTACATAGTCAAGATGACTACATATGACCGAGTGCTGGCCATAAGTATAGAATTAGATGGGAGGGGGGTATAATTTTTCTTTGCACCGCTTACTCATGCGATGTGTAAATCTGGAGACAGTATTTGTATAAATAAAACAAGTTCTGCCGCGTCTTGAATTACAGTGTTTTTGTAAAAAAAAAAAAAAAAAAAAAATCGGTTTAGTTATAGTTCAGTAAAAAAGCCTTAGCCAAGTGTTGTTCATGGCATTTGCCTGCTACAAATTGCAGTGCTTCTGCAAGTTTGTGCGCTCTGGGGATTTTAAAGGAAGTTCATTTCTGTAATACAGTTAGCTTGATGTGGCAATCAGCAGTCACTCCGTCACAGTTTCTGCAACCGCTGCTAAAAAGTCTTTTTGTCCTTCGCTTGCCTGCCTTGCCATGCCAAGGACAGTCTGCGTGGGCACGTACCATGTAAAAGGAATGCAGCAGCGTAATTTATTGGTGTCCTCGGGCAGCTATAATCATGCTTGCTTTTTTTTTTTTTGGTTTTGGATGATGAGGATTTGTACACGATGACGAGGAGGAATGTGTAAAGCTTCCTACCACTCTGAGTGTCAGCTCTCTAGGTTAACTGTGCTGATATGCATGGGCTTGGGCTACAGAAGTAACCAACCTTTGAGGCATCTCAACCCAGGAGAGAGATTTTTTTCCTCCAGAATATTTTTCAGAAAGAAATTTTTTTAATGGATTTTAGTTGTAGTCTACTTTTGTGGGGGAGTTTCCCTACTGGTGACAGTTCTTCTGAAAATGCCTTGGCCCAGGACTTTAACATTTGGGTTTTTTGCTGGCCTTAATGCAGATCAATCGATATCTATCTAGATAGTCCCAGTTTCTTTGCTCCTGCCCTGACTCGTTCCTGATTCCTGGAGCTATAGCCTGACCCAGTCTTACTGCGCATATAGAAACAGAGCTGCATCTAAGCCTAGTTTTTAAATACCTGGAAGTAACAAGGACTGGAGAGGTGTGCACCAGTCCCAAATGTTCTACACTCATTTCCTAAGAAATGCCAAATGGAGCATTGTGGTGTCTAATACTCAATGATGCTGAGCCACTGCTATGGATTTGAACAGCTACTACTGCTCATCACCACCATGACGGTCCACATGCAACATTGACATCTACCTTTAAAAAATGGATATGTTTGTTAAATTAGCCCATGAGCAGATGTCAAGACCCCAACGCCAACACTAGTACTGTTAGGGAAAGGTGCCGCAGGGTATTTAATAATCAAACCTGGTTGGAAGGGACATCTGTGTTGTGTCTCATCTGAAAGATGGTTTCTCTAGCCCCGTAGTAAACTGTTGGTTCCATATCAACCCAGAGGAAAGATTGCTACCTATTGAATCAACAACAC